ATATATATATGCGTGACGTATCTACATGTGTGACGCAACGAGTTTCACTACTGTGCCTCGGTAGTTCATCCAGAAACTCAATTTCCAACCCCAATCGATACAGTCCTCCAATTCTCTACTTTTAGACTCCTTACTTTCCTACTAATGGAAAAACCAAAGCGAATTTGAATACTTCACTCCACCTGTGTTTTTTAAATTGACGTATATCAACACAAAATGTCACAGCTGAACGCATTTGGCCGTACCATTAAGGTCAAGCAACCTTAAGGTGCAACATGTAATAGCGTCACGGTTGTTCGATGGACAATAAATTTCCCCACACGAATAGCAGTCAAAAATAGTAGAATATTTTTTCGAAAGACTGATTTATTCTCCAGTAATCCCCGCACTCTACCTCTGACGTATTTCATTTATTCTACTTCTATGGTCTTGTTAGATAATGTCAATGCAAAGTATGTGCGCCTCGCTGAAGGAATACGATGTGACGGTACTTGTTCTATAAGGCACTGTCTAACAGTTGAATCCACCTGCTAATTCATGTTCATGATCTACCTTTTTAAGGTGGTTAACAGTGACAGTAACTAGTAAAGTGCATCCTTCCATCTACCCACGCAGCTCTTTCATTCTTTTGGTTATTGACTCTTTTTTACCGAGTTTCAAAATCAATTCAATCTTCGAAATCGACAAATTTCCCCAAGTGCAGTGAATTTTGCCTCCTTTGATGCTATTAGAGTCGTGTATTGTCAGATTTGCACTGTGAAGTTGCTTGTACATGCATCAGCTTGCTTCCTTGTAGAAAGTCACCTGAACTTGAAAGTCGCCCAATAGTTTTCATTAAGGTGAGTGGAAGTTGCTGCCATCTTTTAGAAACGGTCGCTCTTCTAGGGCTAGGCACTACATCTATATGTGCATAATTCTCGACTTCCAAAAAAAGCTTCATTTTTGTTCGCTACGACGAACGGAATGCTAACTTTCAACTGATAGCTTGCTATCTAATGCCATACGAGATTACTTTATGGGGAAAGGATTAGACGCAGCTGTAGCTTCCTCACTTGAACACCACGAAAGAAGGGACTACCCGACCTATCTCGAATGATTGCTTGCCCTCTGAGGAATTGTACACTCCATCGCGATTGACTGTGAACTTTGCTGCAAACTCTTTGAAAGGGTCTATCTAGAGGAAATATTTGACTTTCAAATGAAACCAACGCTATTTTTAACACTTCACCTTGTCACTGATTTGTCTTAATCGATAAGAACAGGTAAAAAATGTCTTGTCACCATTTTGAAGTCAGTCTAGCGCAATGTTTGGTTGTAATCCAAAGACAGTATTTTGTGTCCAACGGGAAGTAGGAAATCCATAGCCACCTTGAGATATTAGGTTAGATTACACAAATAGCAACACAATATAATAAAGATTATATGGTCTTATGTGGGAACTCATAACTTCCACTACTTTAGCCATTTTGCCAAGTCTGCGTATCAGTGATTGTCGGGGTCGATTAACCGCACAATGCTCTCAGCTGCAAAACCTTTACGACTGGAGTAAACCTTTATGCTCCAAGATGTTGTATTTGGCTGCGTATGTGCTCAAACCAAAAACCATCTTAATCTACATTCATACTTTTGCAGATCACTAAATTTTATTGTCCACTGAAGCAACCATAACTCTGGCGGAAAAGTCTGGTGGGATAATTTCCCAGCATCGTTGAGACCCCGGGGTGACTAAATGGGACTGAAACGTTTGGAAAGGTACTCTGAACTCATTTGCTTGATTGCTTTAGTCCGTCAGGGACACGTCATAGCTTTCGAAAATTCAATTCCATTGTGCGAAGACAGCGCCGTGGTTATCCGGAAACCCGGTGTATGATTATGCGTAGCAACTCTTGTTACTTTAATATTTGTCAGTAGCCAAATGTTTGAAAAGCTTCAATTGAGCCGAGCATTAAGACTGCATGATAGCCATCCCGCATATTCTCAAGTCATCTTCCCAGGTATGCAGTACTGCGGTTATTTGTCCTCTATTTATGTTATCTGACAGAATTATTTCCCAAAACACCGAGTTTCTGTGACCTACTCGGTTCATATAATAGGAAGTACGGAAAGAAAAGGATCACTTTCTGTTGTCTTGAGAAAACGAAGTTCGTCTTAAAACTACGAATATGATGTTAAGAAATCTAATAGGTTTGCTGTGTCAGGCATTTGTTTGCACCAAAGTTGACCGCTGTTTCAGAATCCGCCATTTGTGCTGCAGCCGGATTCTTAACCGACGTGTCCGGTGGAGACATACTTCTGCTCGTTATCGTATCACTATACAAACGTATTAACATTTGAAACCAGTTAGGAGAATGTTTAGCAGATCTTGGCGTATTTGGGTGTCAGATTTCTTGTCGAGATTTCATCTTTGGCAGACATTACAATTATGTACCTGAAGTAGTTCCTAAAGAGCGAATCAAGAGGAAAAATCTCATTGGGAAGCCAATATTCTGATTTCAACTTTAAAAAACCGTGTGTTAGGCCCAACTCCCACAGTGAGGATCAACGTCAAATGACGAAAAGTGTGACTGTGATTTGGGAAATAACATAGCGCGAACATCTTCGCAGTCAGTTATTGCACACGGGTATTGGACCGTGACCAAACGTATTCCGATCAATAACTAACCAGCGACTGTGTAATCTGTAGTGCGTACGGCGCACCAGCATAAGGGTGAGTATTTGGCAGTGATATGTTCTTCTAGGTAGAATAAACGACGAAAAATATCTGTATGATATATTGATGGCTATCATTCATTATTCAGCTGTAACACCCTTCCGGCGCCTAGCTGTTATGCCCCCCGAAGGAAGAACGAGGGCTGGGATACTACCAAGTTGCCCAAACCTGGACAGGGGAAGTCCAGAGGCAGAGGTCAGGTTCGAACCTCTTCCGGTCAGTAAAGTCGTGTTCTAACCACTTGAGCCATCTTGCCCATATTGGGAGCTATGTAACACTAGTTCTACTCCAAGGATTAAACCTTGGGCCTGTCAATTCGGAATACTCTACTGATTTGGAGATCCGTGCATATCTGCGGTTTATGGTAACTTACATGCGTAATCAGCATTAGTAAAGTGAGGTTAACTGATCCTTTCAGTGATTGTCGCGACACAAAAGGCTGAGAATCCAGTCGGTTGTTGCCAGCGCAGACTATCTAAGTGTGTACAGGAATGGAAAATCCTTCAAGGCTGAAGAAAATGCCGCATCAGGATAACAGGTTCCACATAGAAAAAATTTCCCATCTAAACAGATGTTTTCATAGTCCTTGACTTTCTTTATTTCCCACAATAGTAATCACCTTTTCTCTCCTAATTCTAGAGCTAACAAACACACCTAACGTCACGTTGGTATACCGTGTTGATCATCATTTGTACATCAGTGTGCCCGTGCTTGTGCAGTCAACATCCAACAACACTAGACTCAATACCGCATTGGAGTGGCTGCCCAAACTTGGTCCTCTGTCAAGTTCCACTGCTTCCGAGTAGAACGATATGGTTTCACCAACGGCTTTTGGTGGCATTCTGGTTTGATGCAGTGAGGGTCACTGAGGTGGAACAGTGAATCTTTCTCTCATGCCGACGCAAAAAATCTGCCTGTTACATCCTAGAATGTACTGGCACCATCGCATTCCGGTGCCCGTAGATCTCCACAGAGGGGTTCTCATCGTACCCTGACATACCAGATTTCCCCTGCTACCCCAAGACTGCCCCAATTACGCTTATCAGGAGTCTTGTCGGTGATTGAGGAATGGTTGCAGCATAGTCTGTCCTTTTGGCTGTACTTTAACTCACTAACGGAAGCGATCAATTCGGATATGGCTTTCCTGACTGCGGCCATAACCCAGTGGGCCACGAACAATCTTGGCAATTTGCAGATGTGTTGATGTAGTGTAACGAACGTCACAGAGGTGTTCTGTCATGTCTGACTGCTGTTCCGGTGTGGTGCCTAGCGCCGGTGAAAGACTCGCTGATAAAGAACAACAAAAGCTTTACTCCGAACAAGCGACTGTGAGAGTACAACGGCCTCAATCTGTTTTATTGGAGGGACATTGTCGGATCTTGGTTCAACGCTGTCTCGCGCTGTCTGGCTATCACACGCTGCGTATAGAGGAGGCGTTGTCTGTCTGGTCAGCGTCTAGGGACTTGGGGCATTCAGTAGTTATCTTCAGGAATCTGGCCTTCCTGATACCTTCCCCTTTTGGGTGTTCAACGTAAAATTGTCGACACGGATCAAGTTGTAAAGGTTTCATCCTTTTTCTAGCGTAACTGGTACGACGTCTCGGTTGCAGCAATGGACGGTACACGTGAAGCAGTCACTATAGGTGCTGGTCTTGAGAGATCCAAGGTTTCAAGCATCAGACTGGGGACTAGTAACTGTTCCTCCGCTCTTGGGATCGGTCACTTAGTCGGCCGTAGCTGATTGACATGTCGTTTCCGTATCAACGATCCTAGACGCTATAGATCACCTTACCGATCCTTTTGAGGACAACTCCAACAGTCCATTTTCGATCCCTGGACGGTAGTCCCTCACAAGCACACGGTTTCCCTTGTTGGGTCTCCTGCTTCATTTCTAGATAAAAAAGACTCTGTGGTGAGTTGCCTTTTTCTCAACTTCTCTCTGGCACTTCACAGACAGCTCTTTCTTCGCAGGCCTTATTCTGCTGGGCGTTCTGTTCTCTTACTTAATTGGTTGGATTATTAATTTTATTGTCATACGCAAACATTGGAGGGCCATGCTCTCTGCCTCTTTCTAGTACCGATAGCGTTTTTCGAGGCGCAATTTCACCATCATTTCTTTTGATTCATTATGCGGATGGTCTTCGGAACACCTTAACTTCGTAGATAGATTCTTGGCTTCGTTTTTAGTCCACCATTTCCTCGCCTGCAGCGCCAGTCTTTTTGATATATCTTTATCTGCTGTCTCCTCCACCTGTTCTCTCAACTCGTTCAAAGGCGAAAGTCAGGTATTTTGATATCAGTTTTGATGTTCCTGATGTGAAAAAAATGAAAACATCCTTCCAGTGGTGCTTATGAATCTGCTGACTTTAAACGCTTCATATACTTAGGAGCTATCTTCATTTCACATTAATGCGATGGGCTCACCATAAAAAAAGTCTCTTCGAATCTGAAAAGACTCCCATTTCTGTAGGAAATCTACTCCAGTCCTCCAGATTTTTATACAAATTGCAAACACGCACGTATTTTTTGTTAATTTTCGCATTTCTCCTGTCATTTCCCATGACCTGTTTATGAAGGGATTTGGCCTAGCTCAAGTAGACCGAGACTGATCCCGGGAATTGTTCAACCCTCGATTGTTTACCAAACCTATCTGAAAAGATGACTACCGAATCGGTCCCAAATCCTTTACAATTTATTGAAAATCTGAGGATTCATTTTTGAACAATCTTTAGCTTTTGTCGCAAAAACTTAAGTCGCCATATTTAAGGCGGATAGGGAACCAAATTGTGAAGTCTGTTTTAACCAGCTGATTTAATCGGTGATGGAATTCAGTCAAATCATTTTGAAAAGTGGAGAGATGACCAGTTTTCAGGTTCGGAGGCATGGCTGTTTTAGTTTAGGATACTCGTTGAATATTCCTCTTGGTTACAGTAAAGAAATTTTGTTGGTCTGCTTGGGTTTTAGTAAGCCATAAGTGGGAAGGGTGTTGGGGACGTCAGACATCTTGTTGACCGACGCGGCCTCTCTACTTCTTGACTCACTGGAATGTGTCAACCCGCCAGATCTGCATGGGCTCTGCTGACCACATTTTCCGAACTCAGTGGACAGCATTATGAACAATTTAGAGGGGTACCAGTGGGATCCCCAATTTCAGAATTTACCACAGAACTCACAAAACAGTAGCTGAAATGGATTGTAATGTCAGACATGGATCTGCTAAGTTGATGAACCAGTTATCATCACCGAATGGAGTGAACTACAACTAACAAGCTACTTATTAAATGACATTTTCGACAACATACTACTCACAATAGAAGTGATGGAAAATTAGTATTCTTGGATTTCCTTATAAACCTTTGCTAAACGGTCGGCTACAGACCATATCTTCAGTTACCACGGTAATCTCCAAAACTGCCACACACGAAGCTGCATCCGGACACCTTTTAAATGAATCGAAACGCATTGCAACACAACGGAGGCTGAGATTGAAAAAGGATATCTAAGAAAATTCATTTGGCGAACTCTTGGGAAAAACAACTCAACTAACTGAACACCGCAAGAAGAGTGCAAACGAATAACCATTTCGAACCTTTCCGAGCCTGCAAGACTACGCGATAAGAAGATAGAGGACTCGGGACACGGCCGTATTGTCAGGACAAAACATACAGAACATCTGTGTAAATATATAGGATGACTAAAAGGCCAAATATGGTCGTTCACTTGTTCGCTCTGTACAGCCAATGGTGGTGTTCCGGTCGTGAACACTTTCAGCCCCACTCCACTGGTCTTATGTTGCTAAGCCGTGTTTCGTGGGCTCCGCCAACGTGCCTGCTTTCCAAAACGTGTCGTACTAATGGTGACCTTGGAGATGCGTCACTCTCTGCACATGTACTTTTTCCATGTCTCGGCACGTCCTGACGGAAATGACTGCCTTGACAGCATAACAAGACGGTAGCCTAAAAAACAGTGAACACAGTGCGGAAAACATTGTCGAAACCTAATGGAAAATTGGACACAGTGACGAGGACCAACGCCATATACAGGAGACAATGTAAAGATTGTGACAAATACTAGGTGGGACGGACAAAAAGGAAGCTTCGTACCAGGTTACGTGAACGCAAATTACTGTCAAAGACACTACCATTATTTACTCGCCTATCCTGCACAGAGATCAGGATGGGTGTGCATTCGACTGGAATTAAGTCCATATGCTAGCCCAAGCATAAACAGAAAAGAAAGGTGACTTCATGGAACCGTGATATTATACCGGAATAGCCACCATGCTTACTGGAACGAACAGTCAACCAAGGAATTGAAGAACTAGGGTGAACAAGAGATGAAAAATCCCCAGGCACAGAAAGGCACGAACGACCAACTAAAGGTAAGAAACTCCCCTAGCACGAGAAAAAAACTATAACCACAAGCGCAGCTATCCAAGTGCGGTAGGAATCCAGAATGAGCCGGTCAAGTCGAAGAAAATGAGTTACTAAAAACAGAATCCGCCCTAAGAACCAATCAAATGAGGGGAGGGCAGACCACGACTCACCAGAGATTGGAAACCGGTCAATCAGACAGGGAACAAAAGTTCAGACGAAAACTGCTCAACATACCAATCGAATTTCAAAAAAATACGCTGAAATATGCAACACAACTCGGAACGGATCAATAGGACTCTGGAGAATTTATATTGTCGTCGGCTACTCACTGCAACGGATATAAGCTATTTTTTGACAACCTTATAAACTCAAGCAGGTAAGAAGGATTTACTCACCCGACCGGCTACTGAAGAACGTTTGTAAGCTAATTACCAAGCTCCGCGAACAGATCAACGGCTGTTTGATCAACTCCAAGTAAATGCAAACAGTCTACAAATATTCTGAAACAGGTTCTCATATGGTGTTCTGTATGCAGAGTCCCTAGTCCTATCAACCGAAGGGCGATTCTTCAACTTCACCAGAATTGAGCGTAAAGTTTTCACCTTCTTGGAAATTTGTGGATCTGTTTGTCGAAAGGATAATCTGAGTGACAGCGCAGCTTGCCTCCAAAAAGTGCTTCTCCTCTGCTCAGATTGTTTTTCAGGCATTTGCCAAGAGTACTGCGATAGCCGAGTAAGAATGTTACAGTTGACCTTTCAGCTTCTTTTCATTCTGGGTGGTGTCAGCAAAATCTCCCACCCCATGATTTGACTGGGGGTGACACAGATGAGAACAAACATAATGAGTCATCGAGAGCAAAAATATTCAGAATTGGTAGACAAATTGTGTTCTGTTATCGGATGCTAATGGATTTGGATAGTCAGACTGATTAAACAGACCTCCGCGGGTGTGTTTTGATACGCCGAGATTGGCAGTTAAGAGGAAAACAACCAACCACTCCGAAAACGCATCGACAACGATAAAATAATGGGCACTATTGACTGGACCCCGCAAAGTCAGCAGATTGCAGCCAGTAAACATAGCTAAATGCAATTGTTTCCACCTGGCTAAAGCCTGGGAGTCCGGCGTGAAACAGAAAAAAGCGAGTACAATTAGTGTGTATGTAAAAATTAGACGTGTCCATCACCGACGGGGAATTTCGACGCCGAACCAGCTGGTGTAAGTCTCTTTTCAAGAGTTACGCAGGATGGGATCTTTATAAATACACGTCGGCTTCTAATAACAAGGTATCAGGAAGGTCAGTTTCCCAAAAGTTAGCCCCCAGAATGTCCGAAACTTACCGGAAACCGCCAATTCAGACTAAATCACTTCAGGAATTCCGCGGAGTCTACGGACCGGAAACGTCTGTTAATGACTAGACACTCAGGCGTCCAGTCAGCGACAACAGACAAAACTTGAATGTCCAAGCTCTAGAAACGATCTTAACCAATTACTAATTCGCAACCTCAAGGATTCAAGGTTAAAATTGAGTTTTTAAATACCGCGACGCCTCCTGAAATTATGCACTCGTTTGTCCGACGCAAACCTGTGGTGTTCTTGCTGGGAGAGTCTGTCCCTCAATAGGGTTCGGAAGCGGAGGTTACAGTCCGTTACAGTGCAGCGTCTCTGGCAGTAGCGATTGATAATCAGTGATGGCGTCTGGTATGGCCAAAACGTTGTCCCTATGTTGCCTTCGAGAGCGATGGGAGCAACAACGGTATCTTCGGGTGGCTTATGTAAGTTGACTGGTCTGGGAAGAACATCAGCTTGCCCAAGCTTGGATGCATGACGATACCGGATAATGAAACCATAATCAGGCATATACAATCAGTGTTCTATTGGTTTAACTCACAACCATACTGATCAAAAGTAAAGCCCAGATATTTCATGGAAATAAAAAACTGACATTAATTGAATTTAGAATGAAGACCATACGCTGAAGAGCACCACCGAGCCTTTCTCTCTTTCGTGTAGTTCATTAAATGTTGGTGGTTGCGAGATTTTTTAGAATACATACTCACTTGATCTCGTTTGAATATTCGTCCTCCTGTCCTAACGCAATTATTCTGGTGAGTTCACACTAAAAGGGCGTGAAGCACTGGACTCGAGTTACGCTCTTATTAGAGCTCATCAGCAGTGCACATCCAATGCCCGTTCCGGGATTTGACATGCGAGGCGAGCGTCTTACCACTGCTCCACTAGCGCACCTAGGACTCATTAGATGTGCCTTCCACTAAAAACATCTACGTCTGCAGATGAGCCTTTTAATATTGCATCCAAATTTTTTTGAAAGTCTGATGGCATAGTTGTGACCCCAAACGTCACTCTGCTGAAAATCTAAACTCGGATTCTCCACCAATCAATCTTGATTTTGTGAATGGCCTCTGTGGAGCAAAGAATATTGGTCGTCAACCGTATATCGCCCTAGCCTCAAGAAGTGTGCAGTTCTGAGCTCTGGAGTTAGTTTAGCCGTG